CTGTGCAAATATGCCATCATGGAATTGATGTACAATCCTGATGAACTTCTCTGGGCAACCAAATTTTCATGATCTTTCACATGCCCTCATGACTGACAGTATCAAAGGCCTTGGTCAGATGGATAAACATTGTGTAGAGACCTCTGTTCTACTCCTGGCATTTCTCCTAGAGTTGTAAGGCAGGAAACACCATATCAACCATTCCTCCGCCCTTTCTGAAGATACACTGGCTCTCAGGTAGATGACCATCTTCCAGGTGAAGGATCAGCCTATTAAGGAAGACCCTGGCAAGAATCTTGCCAGTGATGATTAAGAGGGAGACACCTCTGTGATTGTCACAGGACAAACTATTTCCTTTTCCTTTACAGAGATGGACAGCTCCTGAGGGATAACCTCCTCTTGCCATATAACCCATTTTCAGACAGCTTTTGTATGAGCAGTGGATTCCCTGCCTTGTAAATCTCAGCTGGAATAGAATCAGCACCAAGTGATTTGCCACAGGAGAGGAGCCTAATGGCATTCAAAAACTCTTCTTCAGTTGGAAGTTCAGCATTGATTGATGACAGTCTATTGACTATGGAAGTGTTCAGCCCATCTCTCCAGGATCATGTCCTTATCACTGATCAATGTGGCTCCAACAGCACTGAGTAGTTGGGATGCACCGTAGGTCTTTAGCCCATAAATAGCCTTCAGGGCATCATAAAAGCATTTTGAATTGTTACTATCAGTGTAAAACTGAATTTCATCTGCCTTCTCACGGAGCCAAGAATCCTATATCTCTCTAAGCTTTTCTTGCACTTTACTTTTTAGGGAGTTAAATGCTGCCTTCTTAGAGATGGATGAACTATTCTTCTGGTAAAGCCTGTGGAGTTTTCATTTTTCATTTAACAGCTTCTGAATTTCCCCATCATTTTTGTCAAACCAGTCTTGATGTTTATGAATGTTCTGGCCTAGATGAGCAAATGTAGTGCTGTACACCAAATCTCTGAAAGCTGCCCACTCCTTTTCTGCTCCACTGTTGCCAACCATGTGTTGGCTCAGCTTTCCCTCCAAGTTAGCAATAAACTGTTCCCACTTGAAGAAGCATTCTAATCGGTTGACATTAAGACTTCTGGTAGTTGTCTTGCCTTGAGGCCTCTGCTTTTGTTGAATGAGAATATTTAGCTTGGAGAGGATAAGTCTATGATTAGTCCAGCACTCTGCACCACACATCACCATCGTCACTCTCACATCCTGTCTGTCTCTTCTCCTTACAATGACATAGTCCATTAAATGCCAGTGTTTGCTGCAAGGGTGCATCCACAAAGTTTTATTGCATTTAGGTAAATGGAAGACAGTGCTGGTGATGAGAAGGTCACGAGATGTACAAATCTTCAGTAGTAAGTGACCATTGCTGTTGCTGTTTCTGACTCTCTGCTATGTCTGGTAGTATGTGCTTACTCTAGCATTAAAGTCACCCAGAATTATAAGTTTATCTTCTTTCAGCACATTGATGTTGGGAGTCTCCAGGTCTTCATAAAATTTTTCTTAGACCTCATCAGGGTTAGCCATGGTGGGAGCATACACACTGATGCTGGTGGCATGGTGTTTTCCTGTAAGTGGCGATCATATTGTCATGAGCCTGTCATTCACTCCTTTTGGGAGGCATGCAAGCTTGTTGACTAGATTAGTTTTGATTGTGAAACCTACGCCAGCTTCACAGTGTTCCCCTTCACTGTGGCCACTCTAGAAAAATGTGTATCCAGCTCTGACTTTGGCAAGCTGGCCTTCATATTACCAACCTTGTTTCACACATGGCTGCCATTTAAATGTGATATCTCATTGTCTTTCAGGTCTACTGAATCTTCACAAAAGTTTTGTACATTTTTTGTGTTTTGATCTCAAGGTAGGATCACTGACTACCGTGGTAAGCAGGCCAGGGTTGGGTAAGCAGACAATTTTTAGGGCACCTTTTCTAGCCCCTTCCTCACACCAGGAGTTGAGCAGTGCGGTCCTTAAAAAGGCTGCTCAGACACCCGGGGGGCTGCCGAATGTCCCTGCTGCTTCAGTTCATCCAGTGAGATGACAACCCTAATGGCCTGGGCCTCCTGTGTGCAGGGTTGTGACTATAGTTCCCAGTGTGTCAGCACTTGCTGTCTTGTCACTTGCTTGTTGCTACAGGACTTTGAAGCACATAAAAATCATAAAATGGCATGGGTGATGGCTTTTGACTTGAGCATAAATTGGATTTAAGTGAAGCAGAGTTGCCCAAAATCATTGGCCCCGCTCTCTCTTCCAGAGTCGTCAAAGTCCAGTGGCAGGACAAAAGTCAAGATGACTGGTGATGGTCCAGGGTGCAGTGGATGACCTTAGTGTCTTTGATGTTTAACCAAGCTCTAAGCTCTCCACAGCACTTGCTTCTGCCACCTTCATGGCCTGTTGGAACAAATTTGCCTACTCCACTTGAGGAAGCCTTCACATGCTTAAGGTAGACACCCCCCTAACTCACTGAAGGTTTTGAGGCCCCTAGGTTGCTCTCAACTGGGTTTAGCCTTTCTGCCAAGAAGGTTTTGCCAGGGTATAGCTGCTGCACATCCTACAGCTTCTTGGAGACACAGGTGAGAGTTAGGTGGCAGATGGACACCAAAGGTGGAAAGTAGCCCCAAAAAGGGCTTGGCAGCCCTCACACCAGAGGTATTAGTCTTCTCTGAACACCCATACACCCCAATATTTTGAGGCACATTACAGGAAGGCTTATTTCTAAGCAAAACAAACTCCAAGGGTATACAAAAATATTTATAGCAGTTCCTTATGTAGTGGCAAAGAACAGGAATTTGAGGAGGTACCTATCAACTGGGGAATGGCTGAACAAGTTATGGTATATGAATGTGATGGAATACTATTGTACTATAAGAAATGATGAAGGGGATGGTTTCAGAAAAACCTGGGAACACTTGCATGAACTGTGAAGTGAGCAGAACCAGAAGAAAAAAAAATCATATAATGATAACAAGATAAACAACATTGAAAGAATGAGAAACTCATCAGCAGAATCACCAACTGCAACTCCAGAAGATTGATGATGAAACATGCTACCCACATCCTGATAGAGAGGTGAAGAACTGGGAATATAGAATGGGACTCTTTTTTTTTTTTTTGGACAAGGACAATGCAGAAATGTGTTTTGTTTGACTATACATTTTTGTAACAAGGGTTTTGTTTATTTTTCATTTTCAATTGGAATGGGAAGGTTGGGGAGGGAGAGGAGGATTTTTGTTGATTTCATATATATATATATATATCTATGTACATACATACATAAATACATATATATGGGAGAAAATAAAGGAAGACAATGGGTACATACCAGACCAGCTGCTGATTGTTTTTAACATGCAAGGGTTTCTGACACTGGGAATTTGGCTTCATACTGAAGAGAAAAGGAGGCCTCCTAGAGGAGGTGGTCATGGTATCATTCATAGCCTTAGGGCCAAAAAAGATTCTCTAGTCTATGCATTTGGTAAACCTTAAGCACATATATGTGTGTGTGTGAGTGTGTGTGTGGAGAGAAAAAGAGAGATCCATTATTTTACATATTTTTACTCCCCACTACTACCCCACCCAAGCTTCTTGAGAGCAGGAAAAATTTCTTTGCCTAGCACATAGCAAATACTGATTGAATTGAATAAAAATAAGAGTGCTGGGTCTGAAGTCAGGAAGACCTGAGCTCATATCCAGCCTCAGATGCTTGATAGCTATGTGACCCTGGGCAGGTCACTTCACCTCTGTCTGCCTCAGTTTCTCATCTATCAAATAGGAATCATAACAGCATGCAACTCCCAGCGTTGTTGTGGGGACCAAATGAGATAATATTTGTAAAGTGTTTAGTATAGTGCTTGGCACATAGTAGGTGCTATATAAATGTTAGCTAATAACCAGTATTTTCATGGTGCTTTAAGGTTTGCCAGATGTTTGACCTATTTATCCTGATTTAATCCTTTCAGTAGCTCTGTGAGGTAGGGAGGATATTATTATCCCCATTTTACCGGTGACAGACAGAGGTGAAGTGATTTGCTTAGGGATACAGAACAGTGTTGAAGGCAGGATTTCAACTCAGGTCTTCCTAATTTCAAGTCAAGCACTCTAACTGCTGGGTACCCATTCCACAGATGTGGTTCAATGATGTGCACAAAGTCAAAGAGCTATTGAGTGCCAGAAGTAGGATTTGAAATCAGATTCTCTGACTCCAAGCTGGGGGAAATTGATCTCTGATTACTTTTCTTGATCTCTCTTGCCCTTATTAGAATCTCTGCTTTTCCATCTCTAGTTTTTTAGCTCAGTTAAGCCTGGGAGCTTCTTCTGGATCAGTGTTGACTATCATACCTCCCCCACCACTCCCCTAATTAGTTAAAATCTGACCAACTCAGTTGGTTGGCAAGCATTGGGAGAGAAGTGAAATTTGCAAGCAGGCTGGGAAGTGACCCTTCCGTTTCTGCTCCCTGCCCCACTTCTTTTCCCTGTCTGCCAACAATGGGGCTCCTCAAGGACAGACACTGTTATGTGTGTGGTATGTGTTGAAATGGCGGGGTGGGGAAAGGGACAGGGAGATTGGAGAAAGGATATATATTTTCTTCCTCTTTAGGACAGGACAATTCAGTAAATGACCTTCCTTTCTGACTGAGAAAATCCAGGACTCCGGTGGTCTGTTTCCTGTAAGGGCTTTTGGGTGATGTCAGGTTATAGTAACAGAAAGGAGAGGTCCTTTTCTGGGCTTGGAGCCCAGGCCTCAGAGGGAGGTTTCAGGATAGCATTTGGCCCACTTGACAGATAAAAGCAGGGCTGTGGGGGTGTGCTGAATCTGTTCATGAGTGTGTGTGTGTGTGTGTGTGTGTTTTCTCTCTGATGCTGAGTCATGGCTCTGAGACCTCTCTGGTTAGGAACAACCACTCCCTTCTACCATACACGCCCCCTTTGGCCCCTCCTTGATTCAAAAGTTTAAAGTCAACAGGAAGAAGGAATATGAATTCAAGAACTTCCCCTAAGTGTTTCAAGTTTAGTCACCCCATATCTTGATAAAAGGGTCTGCCCCTAGTTCTAGCCCTTCCCAGCCAGAGCCTACTGAGAGGAGGTTGACTGCTTTCTGGGCATCAGACTGGGGTTCTGTGCTTTGGTGGGGGTGGGCTGCACACAGCTGGCAGTTCAGAAGGCAAGCTAAGATGGCAGGCTGGGGACCCAGCGCCAAACAGGAGCCTGAGATTGAGCTCTTTGTCAAGGTGAGTTTGCCTGGTGACCAATTTTCCGAGGGAGGGTGGGGTGGGGTGGGGTGCTGGTGGAAGGTAGCAGGAAGAAGACGTTTTAGCAGGGGGCATCAGGAGGCCATCTTTTTTGCTGGGAAGATGGACAGTTCTCAAAGCATGACTCTTTGGAGTTCCAGAAAGCAATCTGGGTAATTTGTCTTCACTCCAAGGTAGCAAGAATGAACAAATGTTGGGCTGCCAATCAGGAAGATCTAGGCTCAAATTTCACCTCCTGTGATCATTATCTGTGTAACTCTAGGCAAGTTACTTCCCCTCTGATTTTCTATTTCCTTTTCTATAAAATAGGAAGGAAGGAAGGAAATACACATTTATACAGCACCTACTATGTGCCAGGCCCTGTGCTAAGCACTTGGTCCTCACAACAATCCTGGGAGGTAGGAGCTATTATTATGCCAATTCTATAGATGGGGAAACGGAGGCAGGCAGTGGTGAAGTGACTTGCCCAGGGTCATACAGCTAGTCAGTGTCTGAAGCCACATTTGAACTCAGGTCTGCTGACTCCAGGCTCAGCACTCTGTGTACTGTGGCACCCCCAGATGCTTCACTGGGATACTAGGAATAAATAGGGATTAAAATGCCTATAGCAGATACTTTCCTTGGGGGTGGTTGTGGGATGGGATAATCACAACTTGTAAACTTTCTGTTGTTCTAGATCTCTCAGTTGCTGTTATTATCGAGTGAGATGAGCCCGAGTTGTCCACCATAGGCAGGGGAAGAGCACTGATTCTAGAACTAAGCAGCCAGGCAGATCAGAAGGATGGGCAGAGAGGCTGGAGCCAGCTGGGCTGAGAGTGGAGGAGATGGCCAAGACAAGCTCAGGCCAGCTCAGGGAGAGGCTACTTCCACTTTGGGCTCGATCTTGGAGTTTCCTTTGGAAAGCCCCTTCAGCCCCAGTGACATGCCAGGCACTGAACAAGGAAGCAATCAAGTCAAGCTTTCTCTATCTTCTCTTGCTTATTTCCAGCATTCTACATGGCTCAGCTGAAGTCCTAAATGACTCTGACACTTTCTATCTGTGTCATAAAAGAATCGGTCATTGGTAGAATGAGCAAAAGTCCCACCTCTGCCACTTATTAGGTGGGGGATCCTGGCAAGTCCCTTTCATTCTCCAGCCCTTGGTTTCTTCCTCTAGAATATGGGGATACTAATAATAGCTGATGTTGAACTAGTGCCTTAAGGTTTACATACATTAGCTAATCTGACCCACCCTGTTGGAATAAGTGCTTTTATCCCCATATTATAGAAGGAAAAAAAAAAAGACTCAGAGGTGAAGTGACCTACCCAGGGTCGCACAGCAAGAATGGGTCCAAATTCAGCAGGATTCAAACCCCTAGTCCCTCATTCTATCCCCATACCACATTGCTTGGACCTAATAATACCTCTCTCCACACCTCTCTGTCTTGAAGGAAAGTATTCCATTAACAACAGCAACAATTCTAGGGTCCTCAGGCTTCATAACAAAAGCCTGACCTCTGCACTCCTTTCCGGTGCTATTAACCCACACCATTGTTAAGCAAAAGAAGCTCTATGCCATGAGGTAGATGAGAGGGGCCAGATAACAGGTCAACCTCAAGGTGTTGTCCAGTTAGCTATGTGAAGAACACTTGAAGTAAACACCTAAGTGCTTCTCAACCTAAAAGTCAGAGGGGATCCCATAGCAACACAACTTCTAAGATGGTCAAAACAATTAAACAGATGGGCTGCCTGACTACCTGGAAGCTTCCTCTTGGTTTGGGTAATAGCTGAGATAGCCCAAGAGTCACTGTGTCCCAACCATAAAGCTCAGTGCCCGGCACCAAGCGCTTGATCAAAGATTGCTGATTGATAGGTTTAAGCCACCCTCAGAACTTGTCACATTCTGTACTGTGTTCTAAGTAGAGGCAGGCTAACAGATTTCCTCCTGGCCCAAGAGTCTAACATATTTGTCTCTGGAAGGAATAGTGATTTGTTTGTTGAAAACAGCTGGTGCTGGGGCAAGGCAATTGCTGAGACACTTTCAATCAGGAGGAGTTCACTACCTTGTAAAGGCAGACCATTCCATTCCATTGTTAGAAAGCTCTAGTTACCAAGTAGCTCTCCCTTAAGTTGAACTGAAATCTGTTTCCCTTTAACTCCATCTTGGTGGTGGTATTGCTCAGTCGTTTTTCAGTCATGTCTGACTCTCCATGATCCCATTGGGGTTTTCTTGGCAAAGATACTGAAGTGGTATGCCATTTCCTTCTCCAGCTCATTTTACAGATGAGGAAACTGAGGCAAACAGGGTTAAGTGAGTTGCCCAGGGTCACCCAGCTAGTAAGTGTCTGAGGCCAAATTTGAATTCAGGTTTTCCTGACTCCAGGCCCAGGACCCTATCCACTGCAACGCCACCTAGCTGTCCCAGGGTACATCTTGGTACTACTGTCCACCTATTGGTACTAGGTAGTTCTTTCCTCTAGGGCCAACCAAAACAAGGCAACTCTCCCATCACCCCTTGACATTTCTTCAGGCTCAACAGTCTCAGTTTCTTCATGAGCTCTCTCCCAGCTTTCCTTCCTTGGCTCCAGCAGATGACCTGGCTTGGGCTCTTTTTGCTCCATCATGATTCATGTCTTCCTGCCTCCAGCTGGACATTTATTCCTGTTCTGTCTTTCATCTTCACCTTCTCCCTTTCCACTGGCTCCTTCCTGTCTACCTGCAAACACTCAGCTCTCCTGTCGGGGACATGCTAGAGCCTGCTTACACAGGTTCCCAATAGTTATTGTCTGATTTTCAGGGTTTGAATTCTTGGTGTGGTGATTATCTAGACTTTAGAAAGTGATAGAGAAAATGTTCTTAATGCAGATGAAACTTCTATGTTGGCCCTTTTTTGTTCAATATTAACTAGCGCCCCCTTGCCTTCAGCCATTTAAAAAAAATCCTTCCCTTGACTTTCAAATTGTGCGTCACATAACTTCCTCTGTAAAATGGGCAGCTAAGAGTTGCCATTTCTGGAGCACAGGCAGCAGTATGCTTTCCCAACATGATCTTATTTGACCCTTGCACCAACCTGCAGAAGCTGGAGCTTATAAGATCATCTCCACTTTCAAGGCTGGCAAGTAAAGTGATTTGTCTGAGGCAGCCCTACTCTGAGTCTGGAGGACCAAAGGTTTCAAAACCTTTCCGTGTTCTCTAGTCAGCTTTTCCCGCCCATGTTCTTCTTTGGACTTTATCAGTTCTCTGTAACTCCCAGGCACCCAAAGACTAAGATTTGGCTGTTTATACACTTCCATTGTTGATTTTGTGAACAGAGGGGCAGCCTCCTCTATGCCCTGGCAATGTGTGATGCCTTGATCTGGCCTCTTGGGGCTCTGAGGAGTAGCATGATTGGGGAAATAGTTCAGGACAGCCACCTTGACTGGCCATCCATCCCCAGCAACTAGCTCACACAGTAGGTATTTCATAAAGGTTTTTTCAAAATGAATCCATTTTAGCTACCCATCAAGTGGGTTGCAGGCCTGGGAGCCTCTCCTGTCTCTACATTTCTTTTTCTATTTTGAGTCATCTGAGGGTTTTTGTAGCAACATCAACTCAAAAGTACACCAGTCACAGCTTCTTGGATTTCAGGGTCCAGGGTCTAGATTTGGTAAGGTAGAGGGGACCATTTTTTCAGGCACATGGAATAAAAACTGCCTCCAATTCCTTTTCTCTCCTTCCCTTCTGGCCAATTTTCCAGGGAACACTTGGGAGGTGTTTCACCAATCAGGTTGGGAATTTGTGTCGTGGCCCTTTAAATCAACACATCAACAAAAAAAAATAATAAAATTGGGTTTTCCCAGAAAACTTGGCTATGTTCTCCCTCCTCCTCACACCACCCCCTTGAATATTCTCTTGTGCCCAAAGGGTGCCCTCCCTTCCTGTTATGTCCGCTGTCAAATTCCATTCCCTCCCCCACTTCCCATGTTAGGGCTCTGTTTACTCCCTCCAGTTCAAGATGGATCTACTGTGTACTCTGACTTCCCTATACAGGCATCACAAAAGAAAGCTTGCTGCCAAAGAGACTGAGGAGGTTTCCTCCCGTCCTCCCCCGTCCCCCCCCCCCCCCCCCCCCACAGAAAAAAGCAACCAAAGCTGAGAGGACACTGCTCCGTCCCATCTAGGGAGAAAGAGACATGGAGCAAAATCTTACAAGAAATCCAGGAGTTCCAGAGCATTTGTAATGCTGTGTATTCTGGTTGAGAAAGAGCTAAAGGACAAAGGGCTAGTCTGTCCTCTTCCATAGAAATGGAGCTGAGAGGTCTGGGCATCTGAGAGGCTATTTAGAAGCTCAAGACTGGGACAGTTTAGAATCATAGAACAGGTGAAAGCTGGAAAGGTGAAAGTGGCCCTGTATCTGGGGGAGGCAGAGGAGCTCAATTGGAACCCCTGCTCTGTCACTCCCTGTGTGACCTTAGGTAAGTCACTTCCCCTCTCTGGGCCTTAGCTGTCAAATGGACTTGCTTCCACCTCTAAATCCTCTCTGATCAGTGTCCTCCTCTGTCAGATGAAGGGTCTGGACCAGTCAGTCAACACGCATTTATTAGGCATGTGTCAGGCACTGTGATAAATGCTGGGGGTACAAAGAAAGGCAAAAAACAATCTCAGTTCTTGAGGGGCTCAGTTTATGGGGGAGACAACAAGCAAATATGTATAAACAATCTATAGGCAGGAATAATTGCAGATCATTTTAGGGCAAGGCACTGGGTTGGGAAGGGGAGGGGACCAAGAAAGGCTTTCTATGGAAAGGCCTCCAGTGGGTCTCTATTGCCTCCAGGATCCAAAAAGAAAATACTCTGTGTGGTATTCAAAGCTCTTTATAAAGCAGCCCCCTCCTCCCTTTCCAGTCTTCTTACACCTTATTCTCCAGCATGTACTCTCTGATCCAGTAACATTGACCTCCTTGTCCTCTTGGCTCTGGGCATTCTCTAACTCAGGCAAACAGGGTGAATGAAGTGACTTGC